TTTTGTTCGTATCTGAAAAAAATCGTAGAATACGAAAACATCGGTGAATGCCACAAATTCTCCTAAATCACTCGTACGCACAACTTAAGAACAAATCTGTGCGTACCAACGGTTCTTGCATGAGGCCCATCGTTCTCTTTAAAATTTGCTTCTGCAGACTTAGTCCATTTTAGTTTTTACCTACAGTCCTGCTAATTTGCTACATATGGTTGAATGAACTTTGACCTTCGGTAGTGGTTCAAAATGAAGACTGAATTCACTAAACCTGTGAGATGTTATGGAAATCACATCATTTTTTTAAACAGCTCAAACACCAAAGTGTTCTTTTAGCTTCAACTTTTACAATCTTATGTTATATTTTCGGGCTGCAGATGTATTTTTGTTTAATTTTTTCTAGTTTTTAATCCATCTCCAGTCAGGTCACAGACTGAGAAAAAGTTCTCATTCATTTAACTCGTGTATTCCTTCTGCCAAACCCCTGCTTTCCTTTCCGATTCAGTGACTCATTCGTCACCAATCCAGAAGAGTGCAGCGTTAATCACCTGGGTGGAAGATAAAACCCCTCTTTGTGTTAACTTTACACACATTAAGCCGCTCCGTTGTCATTTTAAGATTAGCTTGTCGGGTCTTCCCATGGGCTTGGTTACCACCCAGCTCTCTCTGCTCAAACGGCACAACACTGACAACCTTTATGCTGCGTTTGTTCTGCAGAAATGTCTTCGCTTCGAGCAGCACTCACTGAGAGGTTTGAGGATGTTGGTGCAGGAATCGTCTGCGTTCTCCAAGTCCGACTTGTAGACTTCCACGCTCTGCTCGGCCCGTTCCCGCCTCTCCTTGTGGCTGGACTTGCGTCTGTGGCGTCTCCTCCTCGGGCGGTAGCTCTTGGGAACGTGAACGCCGATGTACACCGTGTGGTGACCTGTGACGGCAACATGGAGATTAAACCACAACTAAAGAAACTGCACTCACTGCCAAAATGCTAGTGTGAATGCTTCATGCTGAAACTGAACTGAAAATATTTAATAGGAAAAGTGTTAATGTGAGCTCACTTTGAAAAACTGAAATAAAGCATAAAAATGGTAAAAAAGGAGCACAAATCTAGTTGAAAACAGCTAAAAACTAAAAGCTAAAATAGCTGAATATAGCTGAAAACATCTGTAAGAAGCATAAATAGCACTAGGTAGCAGTAAAAACGTATTAAAAGTAGAAAAAAGCAGAATAGCTAAAGTAGCATAATGTAGCAAACAAGTATAGAATAAGCTAAAGGTAACAGCCACAATTTGAAATTAGCACCCAGTTGAAATATAGCTGAAAAATAACTAAAACAGTAAAAAAGGCAGAAAAAACATAAAATCACATAAAAATTATAATTTGTAGTAAAACAACTAAGACAGCAGAAATTTTCAGTAAAACAGCTAAAAAGTAGCTAGAAATTATTTAATTAGCATAAGGAGCACAAGTTTACTATCCTTAGCTAAAAAAGGTGTAATAGCTACAAAAAATGTGTATTTAGCTTAGAAAATCTAACCTTAGCTAATAGCAGGTAAACATTAGGTAAAATTTCAGCAAATAGTTAAATAAAGCAGAAAGCATCTGAAAGAAACATAAATAGCACAAAGTAGCAAGAAAAAGCAGAAAAAAGTAGAAAGAGCAGAAGAATAGCAAAAAGAAGCAAAATTTTAGCTGAAATAGCAGAAAAAAGCTAAAATTAACAAAAAAAAGTAGCTAAAATTAGCAAAAGAAAGTGAAAAGGATCATAACCAGGACAAAATGTGTAAGGTGCTGTAAAGATTTAAAAGCATTTTAAATTAGATTGTTATTTTCAGGATGTTGAAAACAGCTCCATTCATTTTCACTGGCAAAAAAGTGGCTAAAAATGTGAAATAGCTAAAGGAAAGTATTGTAGGGGTCACCTCGAGTGAAATTATCAAGGAAACTGTTTTGGACTCTCAGTCCTCTGATGGGCCTCTAAAGGGACAAGAACTCTGTTCCCCTTATGTTCGGTTTTTTAACCTAGGAACTCAGAGAAATCACAACAAGCCCGGCCGAACATTAATGACACCAGAGACCAGTAAGATTTATAGTTTCACTTTGCAAAGAGGAGAAGTTCAGTGA